TGTTATATGAAAATCAATTATCCAAATATGAGTAATTAGTACCCAAATCTTGCTATACACGTCGCAGATTCAGATACGCAAGCTATTTTGTGTTTTGCTGGTCTGTGGCAGCTGCTTTGCCAGAAACCATGGTGGGAAGGAGGGAGGGGGAGAGATAGGGCAGAGAAGAGAGCATTTTCCCCTTCCTTGTTTGCCTTTTGCAAGATTTCAGTGGGTTTTCCTGGGTTTTTTGTCACTTTGGGGTCAAAATTCCATGGTTGGGAACGCATCAGAAATTTCCCCATAGGACTCAATGGAGATCGTTGGCTTGTTATGTGAAGGCTTGCCTAAGGAACGTTTTCTGAGAACGCACTGCGTTTGGCTAGCAGGACCTGCTTGTGTGTATGTGAACATGCTCTGATTCAGCCTTGACTCACACAGCCTCAGCTCCACAGGAAAGAGATTACTGGAAAAACACAGCTTTCCCGTTCTGCACAGAACGCAACCTGACAGCATCACTTTTGCCTAATGAAAGAAAGGCCCCGAGTACTTCAGCTTAGTGGAATCAGAAGTCAGAGCCAAGAGTAATCAGGCTTACATGTTTAAGCATGTCCAAGTCAAGACGTTTCCCCTGGGAAACTGCCCTTCAGGCAGCGAAAGGAGGGATGAGAAAGTCCTAAATGCACTGGGAGGGGGAGAAGAAGACTCAAAAGGCGCATCCAGACGTAGGCTGTGAACACCCATTGGGCAGGGCAGGTTGCTCAGATGCGGGAAATGCCTTGCTTCCAAAGACAACAGTTGAGATCCCCAGCTCTTGCTCAGCTACAAAGAAAAGGACTCCGCTTCCACTGCACACCTTGAAAGCAGGGTCCTTGGCTCTTTCTGCAGCTCCAGATTAAAATTAATGGTTCCCCCCCAAAAAAAAATACCTATTTCCAGTGCCATTATCTGGAAAAAGAGGTGCCGGAACTCACCATGAACTCCTCCCTAGTTCTCTTAGAATGGCAATGGTGCCCACCTGGCAGGTGCCAGAACAGAGTTCCAGGGAGTTCTGGCTGAAAAAGAGCCCTGTCCATATCTGTTAAAAGAACATCAGAAAGCAACTGCAGTAGTCCAGGCCTTAAGGGAAAATGGGGGAAGGAAGGTTCTTAATCTGAGCTTCAGAGATGTGAGTTGTTTCTTTAAGAGCTCTAGGGAGGATTCCTTTCTAAGCAGCTCTGCTCATGAGAAATCCTCCAAACATTGTTTGGAAAAGAAAAAGACACCCTTTAGATAGTCGCTTTTCATTCTGCTAACTTGGCTAGGGCCTCACCAGCTCATAACAATTTTGGTGAACCTGGCGGAGTGCTTAAAAATAGACACAGAAGTCCAGTGCCTTGCACCCAAACGCTAAACACATATATTTGGAATTAACGCCACTTACTTAGTGGAACTTCCAAGGGTGGTGCTTAGAAATCACAAGGCAAAAACCTACATGTGGAAATGGACAACGGATGCAAAATGCAGCTACCCAAAGGCAACTCACCCATTAGAGGTGGAGGAGATGGATCTCTTTCAAGAAGAGGCTTCCGGTTTTTCCCTGGGAGCGATTAGCTTCCCTTTTAAACATCAGGAGTGTGGTCTTAGTGGTTAGAGTACTGAACTAGGACCTGGGACACCAGGGTTACTGACCTTGGAGTAGTGAGAAAATCTTTTTAGCCCTCCATCTATTTTCTCAACACCGTGCAAAGGCCTGTTTGCTCCTCTAAGCTTTTCCTCTTTATTGCACATTAAACAGAACAGCACCTGCAGCCATTTTGCAGCTCCTTTCCCACGCCTGCTTTGACAATGTTGAAGGAAAGCAGCATAGTTTCGGAAGAAAGCTTAAGAGAAGGAAGGTTAAGGGAAGCCCCTGTGTCGCAGGAGGCAGGAGTGTGCAGCTGACTCTCAGGCTCAGCTTCTACACACACATAGGGCCTCCTCATGCTCTCCATTTTCAAGATGCGCAGCAGAAGTACAGGAGGACAAATGCCGCCTCTCAAGAGTAGCTGGACTACGACTGCCCTAAAGCTGGAGGGAGCAGGTGGGAGGATTCAATAAGAAAGTCCCAGAGCTTAAGGGCGGCTTGGCATTTTCCATCTTCTTTTTGCTCCAAAAGACAAGCAGAGAGCGGCACAACGGAAAGCCTCCCCTATTTCTGCGTCTCATTCATCTCTAAGCGTATGAAATAGTTATGAGAGTCGCAGGAAGGGAGAGGAGGTTGTTGCCCTGTGCTGGTTTTAAACCAAGCAATCATCTCCCCCCTTTTTTGCTAGGAACTTCTTGGCTAATTTGCAGGGGGTGGGGGGAGAGTATAGGAGCCAGATGGGGGAGGCTGGGTGGTGGCAGATGTCCTCTGGGGAGACTCAGAGAATTCATAAAATGGTGGAGTTGGGAAGGACCTTCTCGGTAGTGGCGCCCACCCTGTGGAATGCCCTCCCAGCAGATGTCAAAGAGAAAAACACTACCAGACTTTTAGAAGACATCTGAAGGCAGCCCTGCTTAGGGAAGCTTTTAATGTTTAATAGGTTATTGTATTTTAGTGTTCTGTTGGAAGCCACCCAGAGTGGCTGGGGTAACCCAGCCAGATGGGCGGGGTATATTATTATTATTATTATTATTATTATTATTATTATTATTATAATATAAGGACCCCTCAGGTTCATCTAGTCCAACCCCTCACAGTGCATTGGGTCCTGGACTGACAGAGGTTTTGCTGAGCATAATCTTTGTATGGTTCATAAGAGCAGCCTGCTGGGTCAGGCCAATGGCTCATCTAGTCCAGCATCCTGTTCTCATTGCGGCCAAGCAGATGCGCCAAAGAGAAATCCACAAGCAGGACCTGAGAACCAGAGCCCTCCTGCAACTTCCAGCAACTGGGATTCAGAAGCACGGCTGCCTCCAGCTATGGAGACACAGCACAGCCACCCTGGGTGGTACCCATTTATAGCCCCCTCCTCCTCCCTTAATTTGCCTAGTCCTCTTTTAAAGCCACCTAGGTTGCTGGCCAGCACTGCTTCCTGTGGTGCAGGTGGAGGTGGCCAAGAGTTTCAGTCTAACTTCAGCTTCCCCGACCTGGTGCCCTCCAGATGGCCAGGCTGGCTGGGGCTGATGCATAGCTGTCAACTTTCAGATTTGAAAATAAGAGATCAGCAGCCTCGAAAATAAGGGATCAGCAGCCTCACCTGTCCCGGGGACAGTCTACGGGATATCTAACACAGTGTTTCCCAACCGGTGTTCCGCGGCACACAAGTGTGCCGCGAGGTGTTGCCTGGAGGGAGGTGGGCGAGTCCAAAAAAGGTTGGGAAACACTGCTCTAACACACGCCAGCCGGGGTCTGCCTCCGCGTTGCATCAGCTTCCTCACTCTCGGCGCTCTGCTTGCCAGCCTGGTGGCCTCTGCCCTGCCCCGAGACTGGAAGGGAGGGGCGGGGCTTCCACTGCGGCTGCGTCTCTGGCTCTTTCGACTCATTCCTCCTCCGAGTGGGCTTGAAAGAGCGGCCGATGGATGAATCGGCCGGCGACCCTGAAGCCTTGTGCAAAGTAGAGGAGGCGGAGAAGCGACGGCAGGGAGCTTAGGCGCCGCATCCGGCTCATTGCGGGAAGTCAAGATGGCGGCGGGTAAGTGTGGGAAGCAGCTTTTTCCCTCCGCCGCCCCCCTCTCACCGGGAATAAAGGGGGCCCCGCTGAGGGGTGACGTTGTAGAACGCAGAGTTCTTATTTTGGGAAGGTTTGAGGGGTCGGACTAAGCGGGTTGGGGGCTGGTCTGGGCTTCCGCTCCCTCCCCTCTCCACGGAGTGTACTTGCGGTGCAAGGAGGCGCTCTGAGCCACTGCTCTGGGAAAGGAAGGAGGGCGAGGCGGCCTGGCCAAGTGCAGGGGAGACCCATAGTGGGGAGCAGGGGGAGGAGGAGGCACCGAGGAATGGAGGCGGGGGAGACTCCCTCGCTTTGCAGAAACTGCAAAAAACGAGGCAGGAATTGGGTTTGTTTTTGTAGCTCAGGACGTGCTTCGCTTCTGGTGTGCCTAAGGCGGCCGCCCCAATTATCCCCTAGCCCGTCTTTCCAGGTGCTGCCCCCCCTCCACAAAGGGCCATAGAACTGTAGAGTTGGCAGGGGTCCCAAGGGTCATCTAGTCTTAAGTTTCTCTTTCAAAAAGGAAACGTGGGTTAAAGCGGCGACGCCGCCCCCCACTCACTTTCCTGCTCTGGCTTCCCTAACAGTTTTCCGAGTTACGTCACTGGATCCAGCCCCCTTTTCCACAGGTGACACGGGGCTGGAGGGAGGGAAAGAGGGCTTTACGTCGCGCACAAAGGCAGCCTCCTAGAAGCGCTCTGGGCCGGCGCCGTTTCGCCGAAGGCGCCGGAGGACCCCCACCCTCAGCTCCTTCAGAAAGGACTGGAGCGGAATAGCCCTTTCTCTTCTTCCCCAACCCTTGTCGTTGGAGGAGTCCCTCAGTCCCTCGCTTTGCTGCCTCCTCCCCCCCCCCACCCCCAAAGCTTGGAGGTTCCCCGGCAAGGGGGAGGGGAAAAAATTGAAACTTACACTTTCGTGCATCCCTCCCGGCGTGACGCTGCGCGCTGACGTCACGGGGCTGTAATGGTGGTGTGCCTCGATATTTTTTTCATCAAACAAGTGTGCCTTTGCCCAAAAAAGGTTGGGAAACACTGATCTAACAATCCGGGATAGCAGCAGGAAGCAGCGCTGGAATAAGGGAATTTCCCGCAAAAAAGGGGAAGGTTGACAGCTTTGGGCTGATGGGAGTTGGACTACAAGACACCTCCTACCCAAGCTGACTGTGTCACCTCTTGCTTGATTTATTAAATTTGCATACAGCCCTTCATCCAAAGACCACAAGGCTGTTTACAACCTAAGATTTTAGAATCTCTGTGCTGTGGGGAGAGGATGCCGGGTCCCCCGAAACATCTGTACACTGAGTGGAGTGGGAAGGTCAGGAGAGGGACCGGAGAATGAGAAAGAGTGGGGTGCCCTCTACTGTGCCCTCACCTCATCGCTCTCCTCCACGTCGACATCGCCATTGGCATCGTCGTCCATCTGCTTGTGGATGTTGAGGACGGCCTCGAAGCTGAGCTGCTCGTCTTCATTGTGGCACAAGGCCTGGTCAATGCGGCAGAATTCTGTGGGCAGGGAGGATAAAAACAAAAAGGGTTAAGTCACGCCCCAACGCGTGGCATTTTGCCTTGCCGGTTCTCCAGACAGGTGGGAGGGGAAACGATATTGGCCTTTGGAGACAACTGAGCACAACTGGGCTTCGTTTCTGGAAGAAAAGTGGCGAATCAATCTAGCCGGGACATGTGACACCCCAAGAGCTAACCTCTAATCCAGTGCATGAGGCCTAATCCCCCCTTGACAGTCACTTGGGACACAGCCATTCCATTGGCGGGAGAAACAGGAAGAAGAATGCTTGCTCCATCGAGCTGTGTTGGAGGCCCCACTCCACCAGACACCTCCTGCCCCCAAACTGGGCCAGATGGTCATTATTGGAACAACAGAAATTGGTGCCCGAGTTCTGAATTCCCTCTTCCCTCCCTGTCCCCTTTCCCTTGTGTTTCGTGGTTTTTTCAGGCTGTAAGTCTGTGGATAGGGACGGGGATAGGGATGGCATAGGGATAGGGACGGTCTTGCTATATATAAGCCGCTCTGGGAGCCCTTGTGCTATAAATCAATCAATAAAGCCTCACTGCTTGGGGTGGAAGGCACTCCGCACATGCTCAGAGCTTCTGCTACTACACAACTTTCAAGACTGAGCCTGGCTCCTGAAATGCTACATGATTTCACTTTGGAGCAGCAGTTTCCTGCATTCCTGCAAAAGACAAGTGTTCCTAACCAAATGGGCTGGGAGTGGAGGGGTTGAGGGAATCCTTTTTGACTCCAGAAGGTAGCAAGTATATTGGCTTTAAATACAGGTTTTTTTCCTTGTTTCATTCAAATGATTTTGTACAAGCTGCTCTTCATTGTCCTCACAATCCCAGAACAGGGGACAACATTAAAACACAATAAAACATTATTTCGTTTAAATACAACTTAAAACCAAACAAGAAAAGACAGCACTTTGCTAAAATCCTTGGATGAATAACCACATTTTCAGCTGGCATCAAAAATTCATAAATGTTGGTGCCCCTTACACCTAGGAGGCATAGAAGCTGCTGGGATGCACTAGAGCAGTGGTTCCCAGACATTTTGGGGTGTCTGCCAGCTTGGTTCCACAAACTCATCCCCACTGCCCCTCCCCTATGAAAAGCATTGTTCAGAAGGGTGGTTTGCACAACCCACTAGGGAAGATAACAGCACAATAAAATTCAAAGCAATGACCATTAATTGCACAGTTATCCAGAATCCAATTAAAACTATTTAGTTTAATTAATTCAACAAAGCTGATGAGCTTGATCCAGTGATTTCAGCGCTATTGAGTTTGAAGCAAGTCAAACAGTACACAGATTAGGGAAAACCTCCAGTGGCTGTAATGCAAGCAAGAGAGCACATTTTGGTGCCCAATTTTGCACCAGACGGCAACCACGGAAACCTCCAGACCGCCTGCTCAAAGGCCGGGAAAGCCCTTCCCCTCATTATAGGGACATCACACACCTTGTGCAGACAGACAAGAATGTAAAGGACCTGTCAAGAGCTCAAAAAATGGGATCAAGGCAAAGGGAAGAGCCCTTAAGCGAAAGGTGAACAATGAAGCTAAGCCTCTTGACAGCACCAGCAACAGAGGACTGTGTATTTCTGGCATTCCCAGCCCTCCCCCCCTCAAATCCAGTATCAAGGTGTCTAATCACTGCAGATCTAAACAAGGGAGCTCCTCTCAGGTTTCAAACGTGGACTTCTCCTGCCCTGCCCTGCTCCCTCCGTGCATCGCTTAAATGTGTGCCGCTGAATATGTGCTGTTGGGTGGCAAGCCAGGAGGGAAACACGAAGAAGGAGAAACCGGCAGGCTGCGATATGGAGCAAGTTTCAAAAGCTAAAGGAGGCCTGATGAGTCAGAGGACTGCAGAGAGCGGCAACTTTCTGCAAGCGCAGGTGTCTGCCGAGGACAGGCTCGGCCGGCTGACACACACACACACAGCACAGCCCTGGAGGATTTGCCCATGCTTTGCCTGGAATTGCAGGTGTCTATATAAAAGCAGTGGGTGGGTGGGGAGCCAGGAAGGAGGTGGGTGCACTGTCGAGAAAACAGCAGAGCTAGCTTGGTTTCTGCTGCTCCAGAGGAGAGGACCCGAACCAATGGATTCAAAGGACAAGAAAGGAGATTCCAACTAAACATTTAGAAACTTTCTGATTGTAAAAGCTGATCGACCGTGGAAAGCGGTGGGCTTTCCTTTGCTGGAGGTTTTTAACTCTATACTCCTATGATTCGATGGCTCTCCCAGCCCTCCAGCCACTGCTACAGCTCTATTCCCTGCTGTCCCCAAGGGAGCAAGTTGCAATCCCAGTTCCCTGCAACTCCTGAGACGCCCCCCCCCCATTCATTCAGCTGGCTTCCCGCAAGGAGAATTAGGCCAGCTCCCCCCCCCCCCAAGAGGGACCAGAGACACTCGGATGACTTTCAAGACACATGAGCCAAGAGTCATGAGTTTGGACTGAGAGTTGTGCTTGTTGCTCCAGTTTCACGCTTCGCATGCAGTCTAGGGCAGACCTACCCTACAGCCCGGCATTCTCCTCACCGCTACCCATCATGGCAGTCTGCCCTCATAGGGGAGTTATGTGATGAAGGCATCTTGTTTATCTTGTTAACCTAGATTCTCGTGCCTTTAAAAACGGCGAGACAAGCCCAACTGTAGCACCCTATGGGCAAGTCGTTCCGCTTTCTGTACTTGTACCCAAGTGCAACACCCCTGCAAGTCCCATCAGGCACGAGGAATTTGGAGCATTCTTAGCCAGGAAACTCATCTGTTCCTCCCTTTCCCTACCATGGCTGCCAGGAGTGAGCAAAGCAGTAGGTCTACCTGTCACTAGGGCTGGGATATATATTGATACATCCGTCCAAACCCAGTTTGAAGTCCCTATCGTGATATCAGTTTCATAATTTTTGACCTGGCAATATATCACAAATCATGAATGTGTTTGTGTGCTATGCAAAAACCACAATGTGGGGGGAACCATGAAGCCAGCCAATGCTTCTCTTGACTCCTGCAGCCCCTGCTAACTCTGCAGGCCCAGCTCTCTCCTGCCTCATGCAGCGGGCAGAAAATCACAAGAGCCGGCGCCAGCAAAAATCACGGTGCAGGGAAAACCGTGCAGCCACCCAATGCCTCTACATAGCTCCATCCTTATTTCAGACATTGTGATATATCGGTATACAGTAGACGCTCAGGTTGCGAATGTGATCCATGCGGGATGCAAGTTTGCAGCCCACAGTGTTCGCAACCCGTATCTGCGCATGCATGGGTTGAGATTCGGAGTTTCTGCGCATGCGCAAAGCGCGATTTAGTGCTTCTGCGCAAGCAAGACTGCCGAAACCCAGAAGTAACCTGTTCCGGTACTTCCAGGTTTTGACAGTCCGCAACCCGAAAAAACACAACCTGAAGCGGCTGTAACCCGAGGTATGACTGTATTGTGGTGTTTAGCTGGTGATATATCCCAATGCTGGAAACCAGATATCGCCCAACCCTACCTGTCACGCCATTATCAAAGGCATGAGGACCCCAAGTAGGTGGAGAAGGAGGTGGCAACTATAGAGGAAGTGGGTGCAATGGGAAAGAAACGGGGGGGGGGGGCAAAGCTGGCGGGTATCCATTATTTTATTTGTTTTTAAAAATGCGCAGCGCTGTATCATAAAAATATATCAAATCGGTTTACAGCAATAAAAACAAAAACACACAGCAAAAGCATCCAGAGACCCATTTCTTCAGGTTTTTTACTTTCTGTTTGTATTGTGGTAATGCTACTGTTCATAGAATCACAGAACTGTAGCGCAGGAAGGGATCCCAAGGGTCATCTAGTCCAACCCCCTGCAATGCAGGAATCACAGCTCAATAATCCTCGACAGCTGGGCATCTAACCCTGTTTGAAATCCTCTACCACCTTCTGGGGGAGTCCGTTCCTCGGTCAAGTTCTTCCTAGTGTTCAGCTGAAATCCCTTTTCTTGTCATTTGGACCCACTGGTTCAGGTCCTCCGCTCTGGAGCAGCAGAAAACAAGCTCGCCCCACCTTCCATGTTGTAAAGCCTTTTCTTTTCAGTGTAGCTTATTGTGTGCAGGTGGGAGTTTTATCATGCTGGCTGCTTTCATCGTCTCTCTTTCTTACTCTCTCCCTTTGACCGGAGTTGCAGCTGGAGAATTGCTGCTGCTTTTCCTCCTGCTGTTTCGGTGTTTGATTGTTTTTTTGTAAACTGTGTTGTTAAAAAATTAATTTATGGTTTGGCTGTGTGTGGTGGGCCACTGTGGTTTAAAACAAATAAATAAAAGGGGAAGACCAGCTGAGAGCAGAGATCATTTCCAGTGGCTGCCTTGCACTTGAGGAACCTCCGCGCAGGAATTATTCAAAAGCAGCGTGGGATCCTTCTATCTGGGGGCGTGCTGCCTTGCTATTGCGGTCACATCTGTTACAAAACCAGGAGCTTGAGACACACCGCTCAGGCAGACTAGAAATCCAACAGACACGAGTGCATACCGTGAAAGGCTGAAACCAACCCATCTTTCAATGGCTTTTTAACCATCCTGACTGTCAGCAAAGAGGCAGAATGAGCAACGGTTTTAAGAAAGGGCTGAGCAACGGTTAAGTGACCCCCATGGAAGTGGACCAAGTCTCTGGGGGGCCTCCCCACCCATTCCGCAGCACCCCAGGGCAGCCAGGCACCATACTGTTGTCGCACAGCTCACATGGCAACTATCAATGCCATCAAAACATTATGTGCCCATTATTCAAATTTCTTCTCCTTAGCTGGGGCACAACCCACGGTTGCACAACGCCTAGCATTTCCTTTCCGGCTTACTGGTTTCAGATGGATTTTGTCCTCAGAGTCTCAAGTTGCAGGCGGTCTTAATTCTCTTTGATATTATCTTTATCAGCACTCGAAAAGGGCTGCCTTAAATCCTTCACGGCCTGCTACCCCAAGGGGTACTTCAGAATAATAAAAGGAGGCTGGGAGGAAGCAGCGTAGCTTGGGCTGATGCAC